AAAAAAGCTGGAGATGTACATGCACGCATGCGACACACACCACCCATACACACTCATAAACATACACACACACACAACAAGCAAAACTTATAAGGGGGAGTAGAGCCAACCGGGACTGTGTCAGCAGGCAGGACATTGAGGGTAGGAGGGGAAACAGCAATAAAAAGGGAGGGGCCACAGGGGCCTATTGGCTTATAAGGGGGCTAACCCAAAATAAATAAACCAAAATATAAATGAATGCCAAAATTTAAAAATTTTAATTAATTTAATTTAATTAAGTAATTAAAAAAACAGAGAAAATTTAATTTTAATCAATAAATTTGCAAGCCAACTAAAGAAAGTAAAAACAAAAGAAAATAAATAAAACACTAACTCTGTAAATCAAAAAAAAAAAGGAAGCGGAAAAAAAACAATACACTTGCACCCGAAGAATGCAACATGCGGATAGGATCTAGGCCAGCTCCAAAGCAATGTTTGGGGCAAAGATGTAAAAACATCAATTGAACACCATCAAGGTGAGCTTTAAAGTAGCATATACAAAGCCTGAAACCAAACAACAGCAATCATCGGAGACCACCCCATGTAGTGACAGATGATTCTTGAATCCAACTCGTAAAGCTGGACAGATAGAGGACAACATCCACTGATCCTGGAATGGTTGCAAATAGCAAATTCATCTACAAATGAATTCAGGTACACTTTCCAACCCACCCTGAGCAAGCAGCAAACAACAAAGAAAAAATGCCGGCATCGGTGAATGGGAACAAACAGTGCTTCTGTGGAACTTCTGTGATGACAACCTGTGGCAAGCAGAAAGGCCAGTCTCTCTTCCTGGAAGTAGGTAATGTCCAAAGAAGGTTATGCAAAGTGCAGTTGTAACGCTCTCAGTGTCCGTTGCCTGCCGGTTGGTAAGGAGTTGTGCGGGACCTCTCAATTCCATACAAAGCACAGAGCTGGTGGATGAGTGCGCCCTCAAAGCTCCTGCCCTGATGGGAGTGCAGCCGACCAGGTACCCTGAACTTGCAGAACCATTCATTCACCAAGATGTTGGCTGCAGTTGGTGATCTCTGGTCTTGGCATGGGACCGCAATGGTGTACTTACTAAAAACGTAATAACCAGGACATTCTCCACCCCATTACGTGCTGACTCCAGCAGTGTAAAGTCCATAGCCACAATCTCATTTGGTCTGGAAGCTAGTAGGTGGCCCATGTAGTTATGAGGACCTGACTGTGTCCTTGGCTAACTAGCACCTGTCGCAGGCTTCACATCACTGCTTCACTGCAGAAGACATACTGGGCCAATAGCAGTGCTGACGCAATAGTACCATCGTTCAATATGGTTTGATTGATGCCCTCATGGCCATGCAGGTTGGCAGAACAAGCTGTAACACTTCTTCACCACCACCTGGACGGAAAATACAGCGATATACTGCCCCCTCCCTTTCCACAAAGCAATGCAAAGCGATGTTGGAGTAGAGCCCACACTGGGTCTAGAAGTTGATGACATTCTGTGGGTCCAGGGTGTTGCTTCTGCCTCTAGAATGTCAATGCTTGAGCTATGTCTGGATCGGCCTCCTGCAATGTGCAGATTGGGACTTTGGGATGGAAGAACCTGGAACCAGGTAATGCTGTCTTGACAGTGCATCCGCATTGCAGTGGGTCCGTCCAGCCTTATACTGGACCTCAAAGTCAATCGACGCCAACTGCGCCATCCAGCACTACTTGGTAGCACTTGATTTTGCAGTGGTAAGGTGGGTGAGGGGATTGTTGTCTATAAAGACTGCACAGTGACTCTGTAGTGAGCACTCCCAGAACTTCCCTGTTATGGCCCACTTGAGCAAAGAAACTCCAATTTAATTGAACTGTAGTTGTTCATATTACGCTCCGTGGGCCTAAGCCCACGACTTGCAAAGGATGTGGGTCTGATCTTACAACACTGTTCCTGGGAGAGAACAGCTCTCGACAGACTGTGACTGGCATCAACATCCAAAATAAAGGGGAGGGAAAAGTTGGCATATGCCAGTACAGGGGCTGTAATGAGCTTGGTTTTCAATGCCAGGAAACTCCTCACAGTGAGCCATACAGCGAGATTGCAAGCTCTGCCCCAACACCCGTTTTGACTTCCCTCCTCCTAGTTCAGCAGCCAGTTTGTGCAATGGGGCTGCCAGCATAGTGAAATCGTCCACCAATTGCTGGCAAAGCCCAAGAATGGCCGCAACTCAGAGACACTGGTGGGACAGGCCCAGTTGGTCACTGCTTCAATCTTCTGAGGGTCGGTGGACACACCTTTCCTTGATATGACATATCCGAGATACTGTACTTTGGGCTGGAAAAAACTGACACTTTTCTAGCTTGGCCTTCAGGCCCTTTTTTCTCAACAGGCTCAGCACTACCTCCAGCCTTTCCAGATACTGAGTCACCAAAAAAGAGATGATGACTATGTCATCCAAATATAGCAGCAAGGACTGGCACTGCTGATCCCCAAACAGCCACTGCATCAGCCGCTGAAAAGTGCTAGGCATGTTGCGGAGGCCGAAGGGCGTTCAATTCCACTCGAACAACCCAAACAGCGTGCAAAAGCGGTCTTGGGCCTATCGGCCTCTGTTACTGGCACCTGGTTGTAACCACTAGTCAAGTCGATGGTAGAAAACAATTGTGCACCAGAGAGAGCATCCAATGACTCCTCTATAGTAGGCAGAGGGAATGTATCTTTCTGTGACTTGGTGTTGAGTTGTCTGTAAATGAAATGCTGTCTTTCTTTTTATCCAGAATGATCGGGGAGGCATATGGGCAACTGCTCTGCTTGAACACCTGGGATTCCAGAAGTTGATTTTTTGGGGGCCTTTTCAGCCTCATAATCAGATGGAGGAATATGCTGGTAGTAGAACTGGGACTTCGTCCAACAACGGGATGTCATGGGATATCAGACCAGTACAGCCCAAGTCACCTTCATATGGAGAGAAAAAAGAGACATACTGCTGCAGCAGCAGCCGAAACTGTTGTTGTTAACCTAATGGCTAGTGTCAGCCAATATGAAATAACAAGCAATGATGAAAATCATTATTATGATTTTACTGTTAAGTAATGTTAACTTATTCCTACTAACAGTAGTTTACAAATAGAAAAGCAAAAGTTCTTTGTTATTGCATACCCTGCACAAAGTAGCTGCACAATAAAATGAAAACATTCCCCTCAGATTGACAAAGTAGTTTCAGTGTAGTTAGCCACTTTTCCAGAGTAGCTTCTGTTATAGCTAGCTTCTTTCTCAAAAGGGTAGGTTGGCTGTAGCTTAGCTATTTTTAATAATGAGTAGTTTGACAAGTTACAATTTAAAAGTAGCTTCTCCAACATTGGTTGTTAGGCATTGTTGAAGGAAATAAAACCTACCCCAGTTTTTCACACATAGGAAGGACTCAACATACTGCAACCATAGAACTGTAATGTGTGAAATAGCGAAGTGCCTCCCCATATGGCATCTTCAGTTGTGAATTTATACCAAGCAGAATCTATGATCAACGATGGTATGACACATCCTTTTAATAGACAAAGACTATAAAGACCCATCCAAGAACACCAGGTATAAAGACTCAGATAAATGCAGAAGAAGAATGAAATCAGATATAGATGATTATGGAAAATGAAACATGAAAACTCAGACAGCAGGCCAAAATCTTAATTCGGTAGGTAAGAGTGGAGCTAGGGGAATTTTTCAAGCAGCTGCTCAGTCCTATTTGAAGAGTCTTAATTTTTCTCATTGATGAGTTACACAGCAGCTTCATCAGGCTCTGTTGATTGGCCATGTGCTGTTTCATAATAGGCTGACAATATGAGTGTGTTTAGAATTGGGTTTTGATGATACATATGAGATTTACCTTTGATTCATTTACCAAACACACTGCACAGTGCATTCAATAAAAGCTTTAGGAATGCAAGGACAGATGGGATTTGAAGCTATAGGGTCTCAACTTGCATATTTGGATTATTTGGATGCATACAACCATCACACTGCTACTATTGTGTCTTATGTCCCATGGTGGATCATGCTCACAAGGGCTACAGGGCTGGAGATTTCATTTTTCAAAGGAGCAAAAAGGTCACTGCTTAGAGCAAAAGCAAGGCAGTGGAGAGACTTAGACCCAATCATGTTCTGATAAGAGTCTTTTTTCTACTTCTCTGACATGACACTTCCTAGGGTATGGCAACATGATAACAATGAAACTTGACATCAAGCTGCTATCGTGCCATTTCAAACATAGCTCACAATCAGGAGTGTAATAACACAGAAAAGACAGAAAAGACAAGTATGGCAGAGGTGGAAGAGTTAGTGTGCGCTAGGGAGAGCTGCTTAGGCAGGCATATTTTTGCACCTGTCCTGTTAACATTAAACAAAAAAGCACTCTTTTTTGAAATGTGTCAGCACTTACACAGAGAAACCTGTCTCCTGAAAAGCAAGAAAATTTACTGTTGAATAGTTTACCATGAAGCTTGAATCAGGAGATCCAAACATTTAGAAGAATAGCAAATTTCATCTTGTCAAACTTTGAGAAGTGTCATGTCAGAATGAATCCAGTGTATATCAAGCACAAGGAAATGGTATTAAGCAATTGTAATGTAATAGAAGGGTGATATAGGAAACCAAATGGAGAATGGCTTTATAAATAAACAGGGACCAATGGAAAGAAGGCTGAATCACATCGTTATCATCGTCATCGTTATCGTTAATCAATATGCAGACAGGTGATCTGCTGTGGCAACCCCAAATGGGATGATATGATCATAATGATGATATATCATTATGTTTTATATAACATAATGATATATCATCATTATGATCATATGATCCCATTTGGGGTTGCCACAGCAGATCACCTGTCTGCATATTGATTCTGGCACAAGTTTTATGCCGGCTGCCCTTCCTGGCACAGGACTCCCCATTTCCAGGCTTGGGACTGGCACTGGGAGTGCACTGGCTTGTGCAAGCCTTTAATCGCTGGGGTGGGTTCCTTGACCAGGAATTGAACCCAGACCACAGTGATGAGAGTGCTGCATGCTAGCTACTAGTCCACCAGGGAACTTAGAGATGATAAGGAATAAAAGATAAAATAATTAAAAAATAATTAAAATAATAGTGAGAATAATTGTAACACTTCCAATGTGCATGTAAATAAATCATTATAAATCCACTTACAGGCATGTGAATCTATGTTAAAACCTTTTTTTATTTTAATAAAAAGGAAATCATAAAGTGTTGTATCTATCTATCTATCTATATACATATATATGAATAATGTATATATGCTGGAAACCAGATTGCTGGATATTTAATATAGAGCTGGAAATTAGAAAAATCTACAGCTGTTATTTTACTAAAGACTCCAAGATTTATTTATTTTTTTGTTAAATTGGGTACTTTAGCAGTGACATAATTATTGTATTGCTGCACTTATGCATTATAGGGTGAAGCCCAGGAGATTAGAAGGAAAGGAATGTCAGTGTTTGTACTACTCTTTATAGAGATTGGCAAGTAGTTTTTCCGGAGTAGTTTGAAAGTAAAAGATGCATGTACTATATGAGGGGTGTCTTGAACTGGCAAACATGTATCTGTATCTGTTTAGTGCTCCAAATATTCATATCTGTATCAGTAGTCTGACTTAACCCGAAATGCACATGGCATAAATCAAAAGGACTTTTTAGGATTAAATATGAGTCCAACCACTCTGGCCCAGGAAACACTGGAAAGCACTGGAGAAAAAAAAACACACAGGGAGAAATGCCAGCACTCTCAGCAGTTATTATTTTTATTTGTACCTGTATTTGTACCTGAACATGATCATTTGTTATGAATATATATTTGGTTCTGTTTTCCAAAATATAAACGAACTAGCAGCATTCAATTCAAACCACTGTGATCTTGACCAGGCAGTTACTAAGAATGAATGAATGAATTAACTCAGTAAAATTATATTGTGTAGCAACATGTTAATGAATGTGGTCTTTCTTTGTCCTGCAAGCTTCATATCTGATATTCGCATGAACGTAAATAGATTGTGCTTGTGTAACTTTTGTGTTGCATCCCTAGACCCTTGTTAAACACTTCTAGTCTAAACCAGATGCCCTGTCAACCTTTCTGGCAAACTTGTACATCTGTAATGCATATGTAGACTATAGTCACAACAGTTTGCGCAAGTACAAGTCTCTCTCACACACACACACACACACATCTGTATGAAGAGTATTTTCATACTTGTCTCAGTTTACACTACACACAATTACAACAAATTGTCCTTGCAAACTGCAATTATCACTACAGTTTCCTTCTATTCAGAGAGTTTAATTAAAATAATTATCTTTCTCAATAGCTTGACATGACCGACTTTTATGAGGCAACACTCTGTGCAATAAGTAGGAGCTTTTTACTGAGTTAATAAAACAGAAACATACAGTAGAATTGCCAAACTATTATGATTACAGTGCTTTCTATAACATTCAGTCTACACATGTGCCATTTTTGATCTCCTGGAGTGTGTGAGGCTGCACCTAGAAAGTTCAGCAATGCCACTTTGAAATATTTAGTTTCCTTTTGTCTTAAGAAAAACTTCACTGCATGGGACAAAATGAAAGACTAGCACAATCTACAGTGTTTCATCCTTTAAATATTCTCAGCATTTTCACAGGAAGAGCTACTTTTGCACTATCAAAGAGGACTCTGTAATAATACATAAGAATAAGTCCTTATCTAGTTTCCCTTTTCCTCTGCCTTTTTTCTGCAGACAATTTGCATTTTAATTTGATGCCTCAACCTATCCTTAACAGAATTAGAGGGAGCTGTTGATGTGATTCCCTGACCCACTGCAAGCCCTGAAAGAGCACAAAACCCAAAACCCTTTCTGCTTACCTGCAAAAAAGAAGAAAGAAAATAAACTCCCTAGTTACAGATAAGAATAAAACACCACATCATAGCCGGGATTTTTAGAAAAAGATGAAAGAAGTAAAAAGATTAGCTGTGGGAAACTTTAATTAATGGAGAGTAGCTTTTTATTCACATAAAAAGCATTTACAATCTCTCTTTCCTTCCCCATTGAACATGGCTGGCATATAAAGGACTTTTTCCTCCTTTTTCTCAGATTGTGGATTGTTTTGCTTTAGTAACTGCAGGGCATATATCTATGAAATTGGAAATGGCCTTGCCAAGCATTTGGTTGTTTACAGCTTCTTTGAATTTTGCATTTAGGTCAATATTGGGTTAGGCTGCAAGGGAAATAGCTTGTGCAGAATTGGTGCTACGATGCATGAAGAGTCGAGCTGTCCTACTGGGAAGAAAGAAGATGAAGTTTGCCATTTGATATTTAGATATGAGAAAGATGGGCTGCAAACAATGTATAGCCATTGACATGCACTTTTCCTGATGTGTGGCAGTATAATGAATATTTTGTTAGTACTGTTTTAATAGCAGCAACAGACATATTGAGCAATGTCCATAATATTCCTATATTTTGCCAAGCAATGTCTATAATATTCCTATATTTTGCCAATGTTTCCCTCAAAATGATCTTCAAAAGAAACATTTTTGACACCTTATTAATCAGAATCAGAATCAGTATCAGTATTACAGTATAAGATGGCCTTGTATATCAGTATTACAGTTTAAGATGGCCTTGATTGGAAAGAGTACATGGTATCGTTTATTGACTCATAGAAAAGGCACTTTTCTGTAGAGAAACACATTACATAACATGGGTTACTCCTTTTTCCTGACTAAACCAAGCCTGACCCACTCAAGAGCTTCTAAACACCAGCAATCTTTAACTTTTGTTTTGTAGCCTAGTGAGGGACCTGTCAAGGCTGTAATAAATCAGTTAGAGGGATTGCAAATCTATTCTGACATACAGAAATGCCAACTCTGATATGAAGATGTACACTGACTATACTATGGCATTCTTTGCTGCAGTTACCAAGGAATATTTTTAGAAATCTTATTTTTAATACAAATTCCTGAAATTAAATTCCTATTTTGTGGGAAATTTGTTTTTAGGGACCACTGGAAATCTGAAAAAGTATTTCATTTGTTATAATTCCTATGAATTTGCACTACTTGGATTTAAATAGTGTAAAAAAAAAAATAGTTTCTATACACAGATTTAGCCCCTGGCAATGATTATCCTCCTACTGGTCATTCTTCTTATATCCCTGGGTTTTACATAAAATGTTTTCATGCTGATGATTCATAATGTGACAGTGCTGGATTACTGTGTAGGTTTCCCAATCAGAAATAACGATCTAGACAAGTCTTTTATTTCATGACCATAGTGTCATGCCTGTAGTGTCTCGTCAAACTCAGTGTGTATCAGTGCTAATTAGTCATGTTCTTCATGTTCTATCATATAAATAGTGATACAGTGACTGACTCGAAGCATATTCAGCACCTGAGTGAAGGTGATATTGCATTGCAACAGGATGACTTTTCCAAGTAGCCCATGGGAAATCTTACTGATAGCCTGCTTCTGAGAACCACTGGGATCTGTTTATCACATGCTGATCTTAATAATTATTAACTTCTTCTCCAAAAAGTTTCAATAATAAAAATAGTTGGCAATGAATTTCATTAACGATTAGTTGGGTTGTCTTATGAAGTGGCGTAGTGCAATGTGCACTATGCCACTTCATTTAGACTAAAAACACATTACCGCAGAGAAAACCTCCTTTAAAGTATGGGATCTCTTTACATTACAGTACCCTCTTTGCCTCATGATGTAACTTGTGCATTCATGTGAGTAATATTTTGATTTGTGATCATTTGTTGGTAGGAATGTGGGAAACAGTGGAAGTGCCATGTACTGTTTTGAACCTTGCAAATTAAATGCCATGTATTACTTTGAGTTGTCCTAGCTTATCCAGTTTTCTAGCTGTATCAGACACTTATGGTCATATTTATCTCCTGCCCTATCAGAAAACATTATCTCATGTTACTTTGGCCAAAAAAGTCAGTACAACAACCCGATGAGTTGAAAATGACTGAACATGGGCTCAAATGAACGATTAGTCTCGAAGACAAACCTTTTCTCACTTCAAAACACTAATGTCATGAAGCATTAGCATTATGCAGTATGGGCAGTAATATAGTGCTTCTTAGCATACGCAATATATATTTTTATTAAATGTTGTGTACCAAGTCATCAAGTCTCAAGTTCACATTGAAGTCAAGCCCAAAAACAAGTCAATTCACTGATTCCAGGCACTGAAATCTAAGAGTCAACCCCAAAGCTTTGGTGTTGGTTCCACACACCAAATACCCATGAGCACATACAGCGTGCAAAATTAATTTAGCATTGGAGTGTACAATCTGTGGAACCAGTAAAAAATGTACAGAATACCATCATCTTGCATTAGTTGGGGTGTCTTACATGGTTGACAAAGTCACTTGATAATATTCTCATAATTAGTTGATTGAAATACTGCAAAGAAATATTTAAAAATAAATACTTTTGGTATTCAAAACAAGCAAACTAATTGATTAATAAAAACAATCAATAAATTAATCAATTATTAAAATAATCACTAGTTGCAGCCCTATTACAGTCCTATTTCCTTTATAGAAATGTCACATGTGGACTTTTCACATAATGTATGTGTTTTTAGTTTTCCAAATGATTTTTTCCACATAATTCATTTCATTTTCACATGGGATTTTTTTTAACTTGTGATTCATTCAGGCTTTTTCACTCATTCTTTTTTTTTTTTTTTTTTTTTTTTTTTTTTTTTTTTTTTTTTTTTTTTTTTTTTTTTTTTTTTTTTTTTTTTTTTTTTTTTTTTTACAATTTATTTACTTTCACATGGGATTTTGAAAAAATGATTTGTTTATTTTAAAATGTGATTTTTCTCCCCTATATGATTGATTTATTTTCATATATAAAATAAATTAATGATATATTTATTTCCATGTTAATTCCATGTTAATGTTACACATGTAGAATATGTAGTTTGTTATTCATCACATATTTACATGATCTTAACTTGAGTTCAGGGCATAACATGTTGAAATTCACATGGTTTTCACCTGTAATCACATATTACT